TCAGGCTTGACAAAGCCCTGGCTGGGATGATTTAGTTGGGGATTGGTCCTGCCTTGAGCAGGGGATTGGACTAGATGACCTCCTGAGGTCCCTTCCAACCCTATGATTCTAAGGTGGAGCCAGAGGAAGCATATAAAAATGGGGTGATGTGGTCAAAGTGAGGAGCTAGGAAGATGATTTTTGCAGCAGTGCTTTAAATGGATTTAAGGATTCCAGTGTCACAAGCTTTCCTTTTCTAATCTGCCTTTCCCTGCCATAGAGGTACATTGTCATTATTCATTATAAGCAGCTCCTCAGCCCAGGAACCTGGTCTTTTGTGTCTGCGAAGTGCCAGGCACACTAATGATGCTATACATAGTAAATAACATTATTGTTGCCTACCTGTATGATCACTGCTGCCTCCCTCAAGTTCAAGAAGTGCCTTCTCTCCAGTATAGCACGGAACCAACGCTGCAGCAGAGTAATCCTCCGGAGCACTTCCTGGTGTAGCAAATCCTGCAAAAGCTGGCGCTCCCGCTCCTTCATGAAAACCTAACAGGCAGTACATGAGGAATGAGGACAATGTGTGTCATGCTTCCCCAGCCACAGGAGACATGAGTTAATGCCAGAGACATCTGTATCTGGAATGCTCTCAAATAAAGAGCTTAGCATTTGACTTTACTTTGGGATACTTATGAAAGTTTTCTGGACAGTTACCTACAGTACGTGGCTGTGAAATGTTGGATGTGTATCACAATATATAGCAGCCGATAAGTAAATTCCCTTTCTAGGGTGAGGAGATAACTCTCATAACAGTAAGTCAGAGAGACAAGAAGAAGAGCTCTGTGTACGCTCAAAAGCTTGTCTCTCTCCCCAGCAGAAGTTGGTCCAATAAAAGATATTATCCCACCCACCTTGTCTCTCTAATATTCTCGGACCCACACGGCTAATAACAACACTGTATAGAATAGTAAGTTATGTAACAAAGCGTGGAGTGATTATTGGAGGCTAACTTGTTTTAAATAGCATGATCAGACCATCCTGGCTTCACAGAAAGCAACACTCTCGAGTAGTTTGTGTTGTGTATGACATGATTAAAACCCTTCTCACTTAATCCATTTCCTTTTGGTAAAGTGGGACAACAGTCATGTCAATGCAAACATGTATGAAAACCAAGTTACCACATATAGGCAGACTTTATTTGTTAGTGCAGAGTCTGTGGGTAAGTATTTACCATTGTTCTCCCAACTTGATAATTGTCTGGACTGAGCTTTATTTTCCTGAAGAAATCATGGATGTTGTGCTTAGATGGGCTGATTCCTCGTGACAGCAGAACATGGAAATGGTCCACAAAGTCCTGTAAAATTAGAAGCTACCAGAGTTAAATTCTAAGGGCAGCGGTATGTCACTGTTACGTAACTATTTGCTGGCCAAATGAGGTACGTTTTAGTAAATTAGCAGAAATGTAACGGATATTCAAGAACTGCAGAATTCAAAGATTCCTTCATTGTTATAGATTCATAGATTCCGAAGCCAGAAGAAACTATTGTGATCATCTAGTTTGCCTTCCTGTATAATACAGGCCATGGAACTTCTCCACAATAATTCCTAGAGCAGATTTTTTAGAAAAACATCCAATCTTGATTGAAAATGGTCATAGCTGGAGAATCTACCATGACCATGTGTAAATTATAGTTCTGGTGGCTTTCAGGATTGTATGAAAGGCAAATAGGAGATACTGCAGTGTCTGCCTGCAAAGGAACACTCAGAGATTCTGTGAAAATGTGCAGTGAATCCTGAGAAATGATCATTACAGGAGGAATTTACCAGAACCTGCAGAGTATCTCAGAAAACACAGAGCTTCACAACAGCTACCATTTTGGTGGTTCAAACATCAGACTTGCTAGAGTCCTTGAAGATAAATACCCCCAAAGTAAAAAGGGGTTCAGGTTTCCTACAAACAGCGTTTGTAACAGACATGACTATTCTCAATGCCAAAAATAGCTGCCATCCATTCGTTTTACTACAGGAAACAAACTGGGTGGTAGCCACTGATGAAAGAACCACACACACAAAGAACATTTTTTGATAAAACCATCATGTAAAAAGAAATATTTCCCTTGAATAAGCAAGTCTGTGTGAACCAAGGCAGCCCCCCCCCCCCGGTGCTGTGAGGTTTGGGAACTTCTGCATGATGGCTAAATGAATTTAGCACTAGCAGATTATGGAAGGAAATGCCAGCTCCCTGAGTTAGGGCTGACTGGCCTGAACAAATTATCTTCACTGAAGTTTTTGAAAGGAAACAAAAACAGAAACAAGTAACAGGAGGCTTCCCATATGAACTCAGTCCTAAACTGAAGAGATTATCTGGCTCACATTTATTATGAGAAAAATCCTCCCTATAGAGATCTAATATAATATTAAATTAAGAAAATGTGACTGAAAAAAGATTCATTTAAAATAAAATCGTACCCATAACTATTCCACTTTGTTGATATGGCCCAACTATAGTTTAGGCAGAATTCTGCTTGGTTTAGGAATAGGCTCAGTATTACAGTTGGCTGTAACCTGAGATACAGATATTTACCTTTAGGAGGTTCAGTGTGCCTAGCACACTAGAATTTAATTTCCGGAAACATGGATTCGACTCCTCTTAGGTCACAAAGTGGTTGAGTGAATTCATTCTAGCTTCTAATGGACATTATGGTCTTGATTTTAAATATGTGTGTGCAACTGCACATGAAAATTAGGTACACATTTCTGTGCAAACAAATGCACGACTAGCAGTTTTGGTTCAGAACTAGAATAGCTGAGGCTTTGCAAGTTAGAACTTAGGTGCATTGGCAAAGCTGGCCTAGCACATGACCACACTCCATGCCTGGCTACAGCTAGTGATATTATTCACTCACTTTTATGAACTCTAAATTCACCCGCATTTAGAAATAAGGGTGTGTGCAAAAAATGGGCCACCTCAATCTACCAGGATATGATGTTTTAACAGAAATGAATAAAAGGTAAAAGCACTTTGTCTAACCTGGAAGGAATATTTGCAGCTGTACCCAGACTGCCGAATTCGAACTGTCTCCAGCATTCCTGTATATCGCAGCTGCCTAAGCACCAGGCTGTCACTGAACCTCAGAGGGAGCTGAAAGAGGAAAAATGGACACACAACGTTACTTCACCCAACCACAAACACTTCATGATACTCATGAGTACCTAGACATGGAATTGACGACATGATTGACGACATGACATGTTTTTGTATGACACACATGTTGCCAATAGTACGATATGGACTCCTAGCAACTGGTCCAAGACCACCAACTTGTTTATTACTGAACACCTATTGGAAGAAAATGGCTTTCAAGCATTACTGATCTGGCTGGATTTAAAATGGTGATCTAGTGGAGATAGACTCCGTTATTCCACAAGCCAGCCAGCTTCATTCCAGCTTTGTTTATAAATTTATAGTCCATGATACCAATTCATCTTCTAAAAAATGTAAAGGAAAAATGTTATGTACAACTAAGTTAATTTGAATAATGAGGTTTATTATGAAAGTATCTTCCTTTTTTCAATTAAAATTTCATATGGATTTTTTTTAAATTAAAGCTGGAAGCCTTAGTGCTCATGCATGACAGACATGAATTCCAGAGCTTGTAAGAACTTCAAAGGAGACAACTCAAATTATTATTTATATGATGACCAGAAGGGTCATTGTGGTTTATCAACTAGGAATAATATTACACACACAAACAATACCACCATACATGTTTAACAATGGTCTCCACACTCAGACTCATCCAGGAGGTCCTTTTTCTTTTTTTCAGCTAAGCATATCAAATTTACACCACAAAATATTTACAAGTTATTGTGGATTTTACCCAGACACTTAAGAACTAAGGGTGAAACTGCATCCTAATAAAACCACTCATGCTGCAGTCCAACAGCTGTTCTGTGAGAGCACTTCTTATCAAAGTTTTGGGATTCCAATGAAACCCCAGTGGGACATTGTGACACATCTGTATATTGGAAGGGGGCAGCGTGTTTGTTGTTTGTGGTATCTGAAGCAGCAATGATTAGCTACGGTGTATTTAAGCACCACAACTGCCAGAGTTCATGTTAATGAACCGTCAAAACAATGAAATCATACCCCACAGTATCTGGAAACAACATAGTGAGAGCAAGTCAGAGTTTGACCTTTGCCTCCAATTTTATTCTCTTCAGTGAGGGTGGGGTGGGTGGTTAATGCAAATGCTGAGAACAGTGTTTTTGTTACCAAGCATTTGGCAATGATAGATCTTTACCTTTTCAGCATTAGATCGAATGCACTTGACAAAATAAGGCTCTGCTTGACCAAGAGTCTCCATCAACTTGTTGAGGGATGCCTGCAGCAGAAAATAAAACTTAAAAGCTGGAAAAGAGCCAGATGTGACATACACTGAAGTTTCAAACATTTCACTCATGAGAGGAAACTCTGAGGAAATTACCAACTTAAGAACTGTTTCTGACAGAGAAGTCAACTAAAACACCAAAGGGAAGTACATTTTGTTCAAGAGTCATTTAATTCAATCCAGCACCAGCTCCATATACATCTCTAATATGCTAAGCATGTTAAACTTGAACATTAATGTCTTTGTATCCAACATGCAGCTATAAAGACACGGATTTTCTTTCTTTTTTTTTTTTTACATGAATAGTTACCTTCAGGAATAGTAATGGCAGCTCATGTGACCTATACTGTACATACCGCATTTTGAGATAGGATAGTTTCCAGTCCCACCTCGTACAACTAGACATCAGGTTTTCAGTATGAAAGGGAAATGAGCTTTGAATTTCACTTTGCAATTATATATATTTTACTGGGAGGCCCAAGAGAATTATCAGAGGGCTGTGGGGGACAGCATAACCACTGATCTGCTTTGCTCGTTTTCAGAAATCCATTATTTGGAGGACATTACAGTGAAAATGAACACCCCTTTCCTCCAAAGTCTCCATAAACATCTGACTCTGCCCACAGGTTTTTCTTGTACTGGAATCAGAGTAAGTTATCACTGGTGCATGGTCTTAAAATAGAGTTGGCTGCTTTCTTTCAAATCAATTCTCGCAGTTTGTCTGATATCCCTTTATCCAGACTAGCCTCCCATTCTTTCATATAGCTCATTTATAGTGAATTCCTTAGACTACGAGCATTGACCTTTTCATTGAATGCTCCTGGTCAGAACTGTTTTGAACCTGATAGATTTTCTACCATATTCTTTTCTCAACTGAGATGCGAAAAGCTGTGGATACTAGGTGGTTAGGATTTCCTGGATTCCCATTTCATCCTGTACTTTCTCTAGACTTTAAAAACATTGTTCTAAATGACTACCCAATGGAAGACCAGAATTAACCCATCATGCAGAGGCTTTCAGATCTACTCTGGGCTTGGGTTGAGTGAGACAGATTCCATCTAGAGATCCCTCTAGATTCATTCTCCTAGAGGCACAGTCTGGTCACACTAATGCTCTGGCAGGCCATTTGGAAGGGTCCCAGACAAACTCCATCTCATTGCTCCCGCCACTCACAGGACCAGTATTTTCTGTGGAAAACGTATGACCTCATGTTGTGTGGAGAAGAGTGACTATTTGCATGGAAATTCCATGTCAACAGATTGCAGTTGGCTTCGCTTTTATGTTGCAATTTGTAACAAATCTGGAGCACTGACTGTGCTGAAATTATCTCTTATTTTTGCATTATTTGAACGATTTACTTAATATATGTACAATATATAACTGGATTGTTATTTATTTACAAGAGTGTCTCTTAATAAAATATCATTCCTAATCCCTCCTCTAAACTCACTACACTTCCTAACAGCTGTCTGTAATGAAGTGTTAATCCCCCCACTCTCCAAAAAAGTTTACATGAAGCTAAGGACAGGCACACAATTATTTTGCTTTTTGCTGAATTCCATTTTCATATCCTTCATCTGCACATTGGCTATTCAGATTGCAAGCTCACTGAAACTGTGGCCTTGTCCTCACATGTATATGCAAAGTGCCCAGCACACTATTGGCATGATCTAAGTAATGATACATCCCAACATCAGTTAATTATGGGGATGATTTGATTCTAATAATACAGATGCTCTAAAAGATATTCTGTTGTGTATTTATCGTCTGTATTATATGCATAATATATACTTAAAGGGCCACTAGGCATCATAACATTTCCCCCCCCAGATAGAGAAGGACCCAACCCATTCAGTTATTTCAAAGACTAAGGGTATGTCTACACAGCAACTAGACAACCAGGGGCTAAGGAGCTGTTTCACTGCTATGTAGCCTTCTAGGCTTGGGCTGGAGCCCAAGCTGTAGGACCCTGTGAAGTGGAAAGGTCCCAGAGCACGGGCCTGAGTCAGCTGACATGGGTCTGCCGCTGTTTTTTCTTTGATGTGTAGACATACCTTTAGATTTCCCCACAATTTCTAAAATGCACTTACAGTCCATATTTGGAGCTATATGCAGCTCTACATGATTATGTGCTTGTAAAGTAACTCTTAAAAACAAACAAAAAGCTTGTTTTTCTCAGAATGAGCACAATATACTGGCTGCCTCCCTCTTCCCCTCTGGTTCTCACCCTGAAAAAATGCTGGGTATCACAACTCTAATTTCATTTAACTTTCACAAGACAGAAGTATTTGTTCATGAAAATAGCCTGATGCAAGCCTGTGAAAAAACTTTTTATCAAGAACACTGCAATAAACCCAAGAGGGGATGGACTTGGGTCACACAGAGGAAATACAAATGTTTATTGTGTCACATTTTGGGTGACAGATTCTGCTTTGCATCTGCTACCCAAACAGCCAGCTTTACAGCTGCTCTATCCCTCATGGATTTCACAAATACCTAAAACTGATTGGAATCCCTTAGGCTATATGCCTCCGAAAGTCAAGGATAGAGTAGCACATATGCATCCAATCAGAGGCAGGAGGAAAAAACTAAAAGGAAGAATGCTATTGCACTGCACTGACTCAGATGGTTTTGAGTCACAGCTGTCATTATCACAGCCTACTGTAAGAGCAGCAACTTCTTTGAACAGAAAACAAAGTGGGGCAGAAGAGTAAACATAATAAAAAATCAAAAGAAAATGATGCTATGCTCCTTCTTTCCCTCCGTTCTATTTACAGAGGATTTCATGCTACAATGACAATGGGCCTGTCAGTTCTATCACAGTATAAATGTGGAATGATTTAGTCTCTCAAGGGGAATATTAAATTCCAAACTGGATCAGTAAGATTAAATATGTAGAGCGTTTTTGTTTACTTAGAACTAATAATTACAAGATACTCAAGTGATTACGATGTTAACTTTTCCAGCAGAATACACATGGAAACAGAATATGGAGTTTATTTAACTTGCTGTCATTGGAGCATTTTAAGGATTCCTGGTAACCATGTATGTGACTGCAGTTAGAAAATGACTGCTCTATCATTGCAAAAAATTGGCTGATGCACTGTTTGGGAATGACAGCACGAATGGGGAGAACACTGTTGTGATTCTGTGTATAGAACCACTTGGACCAACTTACGTCGCTTTTTATTATCGGTTAATGGTGTTTTACTGGTAAATACTTAAAATCTACTTCTTGCACAAAAGAACACTCCAGGGAGTGAAGCTGTGAGCATGCAAGCCAGCTGAGGCTTGCCTTTTTGTAGCATTCCCTCTTTCTCTGGGATGGGAGTGACAAGGGCATTTGTTGCATTCATATTTTGTATAACATGTTTCCAGAAATTAACCAATTCCCAGAGAAACATTTTTGAAATGATCAGGATAACTAGAAAATGCTTTCTATAAACTAGACCACATGCCTGATTTTAAATGAACTGTGCTCTCTAATACTACCACACACTTGTGCATGCGTCTCAAGACTTGACAGTTGCAGTTTCCAAGACTGTATCCATAGTGACAAGGCTGGAGAAGTTTTTTAGCTTCAGTTACCCAAAATGGCAGATTAACTGGTGCAGAATAGTGACAGCACAAAAAATGCTGGCCTCAACCCCATCTCAAAATTCACAAGCATTTCTGAAGCTAAAGCAGCAGTGTTTTCCCTTCTGGGCTCTTCCAAGTAATTACATTCTAACTGGCACGAACACAAACTGAACTTGAGATACACATTATGCAAATAATTACACTTTTAAATACCACCATTTTTAGAATTCTTCTATTGGTGGATTCCCCAGAGAAACCCCCATAAAGGGGCCTGTTTTCAGAATTAGGTGCTAAGCAATAAGACAGGTATAAAAACCTGTGCCCCATTTGTGCATGTGTAATTACCACTGTTTTCTCCTGTTACATTTTGGGGGGTTGAAGTTCCTCTCCCCAAAACTGTCATGTTGCATTTGAAAATAGAATCAGGGACACCATTTGCCTTTTTTCAATACAAAATGAAATTGGCATGGTGATAGGATCAGAGATGGAACTAGGCCGCGTATGTGTATGTGTGTAAGAAAAATTAGGGAACTGGGAAAGGCAAGGACAGACCCCTCAAAAATCATGTTAGAGATCGAAAAGTCCAGAGACTAGTCAACATAAGATTGCTCCCTACAATACTTTTCAGATTGTTTTGTCCACTCTAGTTTATAATCCCTGAGCAATAGGGTTTCCACCACTTCCCTTGGAAGATTACGCTAGTCTAAAACCCCAACGTCTGGAAGTTTTTCCTGATAGGCTGCCTCAATCTTACATTTCTTATTTTCATCCCACTGCTTTTTGTTATACTCACCCTAAGTAATCCTCTCTCTCTCTCTCTCTCTCTCTCAGTATTTACATCCTTTAAGTATCAGTAGACTGTTATGCCCCTAAACATCATTGCTTAGCCAAGCTACACATACTTAGCTGTTTTTGTGTTCTGAATAGCGTAAAAGAGGAGAGTTCTGTGCCTGTGAGAACCATCCTTTGCACCTTGAGGACCCATGCAGGTGTTTGTTTTCAGTGCACCCACGACCAACTCTTTTTTCTCTTGCGCTTCTTCACATTTGGAGTAAACACTGTAAATTACCTGGAATTGTGCACTGATGCTGGGTGGTTTCTTCTTCTTATGGAGGTGGAGAAGAGACTTTGTAATGCGATCGTGCAGTGTCAGGTTAGTTAGGTGCTTGAGAGATTTCACCTCCAACAAGTGCTGCCAAAAAACCCAAAACAAACCAAGAGAGTTTTTATACAAAAAGATCTTTGACTACCTATGGCCTGATTTCTCCCACTGTATCCCCACTCCCGCTATTCCATAGGGCTCCCCTTAGGGTACCGACCCTATGCAATGCCCCCTGCAAATATCAAGGGAACAATTCACAACTGGGAATTTTTACGGTAGCCACTAGGCTGGTTACTGTACAGACTATATATAAAGTCCCTGCTCCAAAGAGCTTACAATCGAAACATTCACATAACATGGCAGGTTTGTGTAGACCACAAGGAAAGGGTTGTGGGAGGGGGCTGATGAGTGACAGTCATAGGAGCACGTTGCTTTGTAGATTTGCTCCTGTATGTGCATAATTTTCAGGACTCTTTGATGCTCCAAGTTAGCAAAAGCTTAGAAGAGTCTATTTAGGTTTAATGCATGCTTTGTGTTCATATATGGTATGATGCTGGCAGACCAGGTGCCATCTCATGCGAAGGACCCCATGTCTCAACTGAACACTGAGAACTACAGAGCTGGAATCAGTCTGATCAACCGTGTTAGTATTATTAAAATAGGTATTAGGATTCTCAGAAAGTGTTCAGACCTTATTGAATGCTTGTGACTTGCTGCATGCATTAATCTGACTTAAAACATCTGTATCCCATATTGTAAGGCTATACATAAGCATTTGTATTGTGAGCCTCTGTGACTATGTAAATCACCAGACAGTAGAGAGACATTAACTAGTGTGAAGTGCTAGTCTCCAACAGAAGTTGTTACGTCTGACCAACAAGAAAGGCCCATCGTCACCAGATGGACTATGGTGGGACATTAAAGAGGACAAAAGCTTTTGGTACTCTGCTCTCCCTTCCCGCCCCATGAAGATGAGTCATGCAAATGGATTCCTCCGTCAGCTGAGTTCGCAGACCACGGCACATGAGAGAAGGGACTAAAACCCCCTAACAAGGAGGAACTGGACCTCTATACTGTTTGGACTTTGGGGGGCAAGGTTTTCTAGGCATAAGCAACAGAACCCCAGTTAGCCCTAAAGGACATATAAAGCTTATTATAGCTTATTATAGAATATTCTATTACCTTTTGAAACTTAAGATTGCAACTCATTTGTGTGAAGGTTTACCTGCTTTAACTGTGAAAATAACATTTCATTTTTTAATAAATCTGTATATAATTTGTTATAGGATTGGCTTCAAGCGTTCTTTGTGAGATGTAAGATGCAATTGACCTGGGGTAAGTGACTGGTCTTTGGGAACTGGGAGTAACCTGAATATTGCTGTGATTCTTGGTGTAAGGGACCATCTATCACAAAGGTACGCTCACCTGAGTGGAGAGACAGATCAGGATACCCAAGGGGCCTGTTTTACTCCATGTTAAGGCTGTTACAGTGCCTGAGGAGTTTACACTTAATAATTGGTTGGTGAAATCTAAGTATAAAGCACAAAACCAATTTGGCATTTGTGCCCTGGTTCATATCAGTCTGCCTTGCGGTTAGTACTCATGCTCCTGAGCCGCTGCAGGACAGTATGGCATATAGCGAGAGTAAAGCATTATTAAAAATTAAGAATTATAATCAGTATAATTTAGTAGCTAATTCAAGGCGTAAAATTCCAACAATTGTGTTGTAGTTACAGCACCTTTCTAGCCTTTTTGGGTTATGTGCTCCAACTTGCTTTGCTCCAGCTTGATAATTGAAATCCTCCATTGGCATGTACACTGTACTGCACAATCTGATGGTCTGCTGAGATTACATATTATATTGCCAATAGGCAATGGGGACAGGCTACTAAACCTACAATGCTCAGCTTACTCAACTCAGACAGCACAGCTTTGCCTTCTGCAGTAGCCAGACTCTCTTACTAGAATAGAGATGCAGCCCCCATGTGCCTGGGAAGTGGCTAATGGGTTCTGTAACTAGGTAAAGTTTGGGTGCTCTGTCTACCCCTCAATACACAGCTATCTCTTGCATCTGCAGATAAACAAACATGCACACCGCAATGACTTAACTTTCACCAATTATCTTAACGAGGTATTAATCACAAAGTATAATTATGACCATTGCAAAATGTATTACATGCATACAGCAAATGAGCTTGTGTTGTGCACTTAGACATAACTAGCAAGCCTTGGTTTCATTCATTTGAATAGGAAATTGTTGATGGAAGACATGAGTTTTCCCCTGGTTTTGGTCAGAGCTTTGACGGATTGAGAGAGAGAGAAAGAAACCCTCAAATGACGTTTTTCTTTGCTTGAAATACACAAATAAAAAAAATTAGTGGATTTTAGTTGGAGTGAGTTAATTTAGTTAGAGATGAAAAAAAGTAGTTCAAGTCCATCCCTTTGAAGTATACTGTCCCCAAACCAAAAATTTAATGGATACTTCAATTAACTCAATTTGCTAACCACCTATGCTTATTTAGTTATAATGTGTGATGCAAAAGAGCAGCATCAGTACAAATTTTTCCTTTGTTCCTCTAGGAGAACCAGCACTTGATTATTTGTTCTCTGCCTTTTAATGCACAAATATGGATTGCCCTCCTCAAGTTACAGCACTCACACTGCTGCTTCTGATAAGATCTCTGCATCAGAATACTGCCCTACCACATTCTAACTCAGCCCTTGCCATCAGAAAAAGTCTGCTCTCTCTCCATATTATTATTGAGTACCATGCATTTTATGAATGGAGACTGCTCACTATACAGAATGATACTTGCTTGGTTTGTGATTTGGTCTACTAGCCATTTGAGATGAAGTGAAACCATTTAATTCCACAATATGTCTAGAATAGAAGTCAACAAAATGAAAGGAGAAGTCTTTTTTCTATTTAAAAATCATGCACTCTCAAAAGTATTCCATGCTTACATTTTGTTGTTCATTTTTAATTAAATGTAATTCTTATTGGAAGGCACACAGCACAAACCAGACATTCTTTAATCAAAGCAGTGTCAATAATGACCACAAAATGCTATAATTATGCCAATGATAGACAGTGGATCTCTTCTCATCTTATGCCATCAGGCACAGTAAGTACTGCCAGAAAATAAAGGAAACAGCAGGAATGTTTAAAATGCACTTTAAATAGAATGGATGTTACCAATATAATACAGCACTCTAATATTGTAATTAACTAATTGTAAACATTTTCCTAGGAAAGGAAATCTCCACCATAAAGGTAGATGGCCTGAAAAGTGCTCTGTATATATAAAGTACGAAAATTTTTGAGTGATCCCTGGACATTTCTTTCAGTTTAGAGACGGAAATTGAAGTGGGGCCAGTAAACGAACATGCAGACCTCCCTCAACACTTGTGACGATATTTTCTCTGTTGGCTTTCTTTTAACTTCACAAAATGAAGGTTAAAAAATAATAGCTAGCAGCATCTGAGCAGGAAGGAATCCAGTGACTGCACAGCTCTCTTCCAGGACAAATGAACACCACTGTCTGTGAGAACTCTGCTAACTTTCATTGCGATAAAATAAAGAATAACCTCAAACAGATCAGGCTGGAGTTGATTTGCACAGCTTTCATATTACAACAGCAACTTGGTAAACCACACTTTAGAGATGAACAATTCACTTTGAATCGCCCCCCCCTTAAATTGACAAAGTATACATTAAACACAAGTTAACATTTAATGGCAGTGCATACAGTATATGTGCTGCCTTATATACTCCAGGAACAAGAGAGGTAAACGTGTTTGTTCACTAACCTTTGGGAGACTGGGTTTGGCTTTGAAGTTCTTGTTTCTCCTGTGGAAACAATAAAAGGGCCATATTAAGAAAGACATAAGGTTACAGAATGGGATTATGTATTTACTGCTGAGTTGTCATTTTAACCCTCTCATGGCAGAAGCTGAGATTTCCCATTAGGAAGCCCCAATATCTTTGGCATCAATGCCAATAGCCAAAATACCCACGTCAGAAAGAATTGACACTATTTGAGATTGTACAAATTGAGTAGAAAAAACATATTTAGTAGAATGGATACACACAAGTAAATGAAAAAGACACTTCAAACCACCTATAGCAATGTTTTCCTGTAAGCTGCATAATAGCCAATGTGTGTCTGTGAGAGAGGATGGGATAAAAGGGAAGGTGAATCCATTCAAAAATCTGGATTGTTACAGATCGTGAGTAATGGGGTAGTTGGTTGTGAAGAACAGCAAGAGGGGATCTGTAGGGAACAGATTCACCCATCTGCTTTAACATACCACACGTAGTATCATAGAATCATAGAATATCAGGGTTGGAAGGGACCTCAGGAGGACATCTAGTCCAACCCCCTGCTCAAACCAGGACCAATTCCCAACTAAATCATCCCAGGCAGGGCTTTGTCAAGCCTGACCTTAAAAACCTCTAAGGAAGGAGATTCCACCACCTCCCTAGGTAACCCATTCCAGTGCTTCACCACCCTCCTAGTGAAAAAGTTTTTCCTAATATCCAACCTAAACCTCCCTAACTGCAACTTGAGACCATTACTCCTTGTTCTGTCATCAGGTATCACTGAGAACAGTCTAGATCCATCCTCTTTGGAACTCCCTTTCAGGTAGTTGAAAGCAGCTATCAAATCCCCCCTCATTCTTCTCTTCTGCAGACTAAACAATCCCAGTTCCCTCAGCCTCTCCTCATAAGTCATGTGCTCCAGCCCCCTAATCATTTTTGTTGCAATTTTTCCACATCCTTCTTGTAGTGTGGGGCCCAAAACTGTGGGTACCTTACCTCTGGCTAGTCTGGCAGCCTCTTCTGAAACCTATGATGAAGTTGTACTATAAATCAACAACATGGGTTAAGAAAGGGCCACCCCAGCCTCTCAAATTGAAGTAGATCATCTCCACGTCTTGTTTCAGTGACCCAGTTAGTGGAAGCCTCTTCCCTCTAGTGTCACTATATAGCACCACTGTCATATCACTTGACCTTAGCACTTCTTACCCCTTCCCTATTCTTATCACTACAAATGTAGGCCTGCTCTTCCAATGGGAAGAGACCACAGTGGAGAGAAGAGGTGCTAACAACCCGGAATACTAAGAGATTGAACTAATCATGTTTACAGTATATTTATACAATATATCCAAGCCTTGGAACATCCAAGTGCACTTGGAACTCAGACTTTTTGGACTAGCATTGTTATTACCCACGCAGCTCAGCACACTCTAGGAATGAGGCCAAAATCCACGCCTTTTGTACTAACATGAGAATGCCATGGGCCCTCTCCAGCAGCTTGCTGTTGGTCGAATTAACAAATATCCCATCTTTGTCTAGGAAGGAGCTAGGACTAGAGAGTCGGCCTTGTCGGATTCCCATCCTGCCAGTCCAGCCAACTCCATAGGTATCGCTGTAATGAGAGACAGGTCAGTCACAATGTGCATTTTAAAAACACATTTAATACCTGGTTCTTGAACAAAAGAAGGCTTCAAAAATAGTTATTACAATTGCTGAAAGATTCTAAATTAACAGACTATAAAATCGTGTGATTAGAAAACACCAATCGCCAATTTTCCCCTTCACCAATCATTCACCACACAAGTTCACAGTACCATACACAAAACCTAGACATCATCTAAGTCACCTACATGTATTTTAAAATATTTTTAGAATAAAATATTTACTTGGGTGAGCAGGAGCACAATAGCCTATAGTTCTTTCATTCACAAAGTGATACTTCTGATCAGTAGATAATTATATATCCCTAGAAGCACTTTGGTTAAAAGCTTAGAACTCAGCTCAGTTCTCTGCTACTGAGAATGATATAGTTTAAGACTTTTGGTGATGCCACAAAAATCAGAGTTTAGTGTGGTGTCCCATGTTTCACAGAGAGCGGGAGGAGGAACCCGAACTGGATGGCAAGGAATCTCGGGTTTCAGAGGATAAAGGTGGAGTTAGCCCTGAAGGTATGAACAACTGGTTTGACTCATCTGTTTCCCACAGCAAGGAAGGGACCAGTGTTAAAATGGCACAGCCAGCACTGAATATGCCTAAGTCATCTCCGGTGCTGGAAGCAGTGTCAGTACTGAAGTCAGAAGTGGTACAGATGCTGCCAATGGTGCTGAGATGGAAGGCAGGGAAAGCTGCCACAGTAATATCAGTGCTGCAAAGTGCAGCAGTGCAGAGGAGTCTCCCACTGCTGAGGAGGTCCTTTGTGCCGAGCCTGTCAATGGCCTCACTTCCACAGTCTGCAGCAAGGGATTATCAGGATGCGGTGCCGACAGACCAGAAGGTTCAGAAGCCCATCCAAGCAGCAAGACTGAGGATGCTATAGTCCTTGTGAAGTCCTGGACCAAGGGAGAGCTAGGTATGGAAAGGCAGAGGAGGTCCACTGCCACCTGATATGTTACTGGTGCAGAAAAATAGCCAGTGCTGGCATTACCCTCACTGGTACTGGACTCAATGGACGCCCCAGGGCTGGAACCAGAGTCAACAATACTGGGTCTCCCACACCTCTACACGGTGTGGGGGAGTGGTTGGAAGGACCTGCTCCATCCCAGATGCCGACAATAGCTGTACGCTTCATAGAGGAGAAAGAAGAGTCTCCACAAGGACAGGAGTGGCCTCGACTAGTCTTATGAGAACTTTTCCTCAGTGTACTCAATGAGGAGTGGGTTCTTCACCTCTTCAGAGAAGCGCCAGTTCCAGAGCACAAGCCAATACCACTCACTGAGGTCAATGGCAGCCTCCAATCCGACGGAGGCGTCAGTGCCAAAACAGGCCTGGTGGCAGGAAGAAGTAACTGAGGGGAGGTGGAGGTGGTGCTACCTCAAATAGCCAAGGAGGGGCTATGGTCATGATGTGGAAGCGCCACCTCCTATGGGTACTGCTAGGCAAAATTCTCCAGCTCTGTTGTGCTGGATGTGCACACACCTATGTGGAATACATGGCTGAATCTACTCAAAGAAGAAACTAAAATTTCCAGGGTTTTTTTTAAAAGATTTGATGGGAATTTTAATATTCTGTGATTATATTTTCTAGGGTGAAAACATATTAACAATAGCATTAACACCAGCAACCTCTGTCAATTGGGGGTTAATGATTTCACAAAGCAAAACAGACTGTTTTAAGAGAGTGATCTACAGCTGTTCTTTTCACATTTCTTAAACCATTAAAGAACATAAAACAGTTTCTGTTGAACTGAAAATAAAGCCACCCTGACAGACTTTGGTTAGTGATATCATGTTTTTAATTATTTAGTGGCTGCTTCAGGCTGTTTTCGGACATGCTGCCTTGCTTCTGCTTTAGTGAAGCCTTTTTTCCTCTAGCTGCCATAGTACTCGAGTGGAAACCACAAAACCACTTCTTTGGAGGAGAGTTGAAGGATGTGGATTCATCAGAAAGCTCCTCTGCAGCTACTTCTTGCATGATGTCATTGCTTAGATTTGCATTCAAAATAATGTCTCAGGCTACGTTGCAGGGCTCAATCCATATGGTAATACACTGTATTTAAGAGGAAACTCCTGGCTTTAATTTAACCCCAGAAAAATGTTTAATGTATCATTAAGTATCAGAAAGCACTGACATGAAAATCTGAATGGTTGTTTTAAGTTTGTACATCTTAGTTAAAAACAGATTTCTAATTAATCATGTTACACTTTCCCCCCCAAGTACAGTGTTTGATTTATAATAGTGTTTGGTAGATCATTATCTTTACTTTTATAGACAGTTTTGTATGTGGTAATTGTTAAAATTATATTAAAAACCTGTACAACTTAATTAAAATTTATAAAATTAATGAAATAATAGACATTTGTCTTCAACATAAAATCAAATGCATATTTAGGCTTGGAAGAATTCTATTTTTATTTCCATTCATAAGTGCGACAGATAATAACAATGTTTATTTTTAAGCAGTTTTTTATTTTAATCTATTTAAATTTTTACAGTTGGGGAAATTATAGATAGGGTCAAACATTTATTTAATGAGAGTAGATGCTGAGATTCAGAAAGATAAAGTTTTATAAACTGTTAAAACAATTTGTCAGCAACACATGAAAATATACAAAGTAAATATCCTTACACCCAGTTTTTAATATGCATTCAGTAGTACTTTTGTAATGAGCCTAATTCAAAAATCTAAATCGCAAGATTTTGACTTTAATAAAAGTGGCTTTTTTCCTACTTTGCCTATCTGAAAATTTTGATCATTATACATGGACATATTTTTGTCTGTGTGTGTATGGTGAAACTGACATTTACCGATAATTACCAGTAAAAATCTAATCCTTACAAGCCTATGCATATTCAGTCATTGCATTTTGGATTTAAACACCTTATGAGATGTTGAATGGGTGTTTTGTATTGTTTTTTACTTTTGGGGTTATTGGGGACAGAAAATATTTAATGGCTCAGTAGTTTAATATGCATTGTGGAACCACAGATTGTGACTACTTAAGACACAGTACTGGGATAGAGAGGCATGCACTAATTATGATACCTTGAATAAATGCATTCTTGGCTAGTCACTGAACAAATTCCAGCACTGTTAATAAAGCAATATTAGGACTCTTACAGGCAGCTTTGTTACTAATGGATGAAAAAGTTATTGGGACACAAGGCTTGCCTTCACTACGGGGGTAAGCCGACCTAAGTTACGCTACTCCAGCTACTGGTCGACGTAGTTTAGGTCAACTTACCCCGGTGTCTTCACGGTGCTGAGTTGACGGAAGACGCTCTCTGGTCGACTTCCCTTACTCTTCTTGGAGAGCTGGAGTACTGGGGTCAACCAGAGAGCATTCTGCCATTGATTTAGTGGGTCTTCACTAGACCCACTAAATTTATCCCTGCTGAATCGATTGCAGCAATGTCAATCTCCCTGGAGTGGAGACCAGCCCACAACCTTTGTGGATGAAGGAAAGAAAAGAAGTGGGAGTGGATGACAATATGATAGTCACTACCCCTTTTATCTTGAAGTCTTGGGTTGAAATGTCTTTTAGGGCAAATGGTCTCACAGTAGGGCTCTTTTCAAAAACTTTCACACATACTGGTATGGTTGACAGTCTTTGGTCATGACTGGAGTAACTGATGGTGGTGCAGGTCAGGCTTCAGATGTATGGGTAAAACTAAGTGCAGAGCCAAATTCACCATATATACTATGTGGCAGAGCTCTGACCTTGTCCCCATGGGTCCTGCGCTTCTAGGTGGTATATGCTAGCCTCAGTGGCTCTCTGTGACCTTCCACGTAGCCCTTCTCTCTCTCTAGGGCCAGGGTTACAGTCTACTGAGCCCTTTTCATCATAAGCCAGCAAGGAAGTTGGTGAGAGAATTCCCACAGTCTCTGTTGTCCCTAGGGCTTGTTTTAGAACAGGTTAGCCTCCTGTCCTGACAGGGGCCTGACTTCCCCTCCCAGGAGGTGTTCCTGTAGTGGTGGGTTGGGGGGAACCCAGACGCGCCCTCTACTCCGGGTTCCGGCCCAGGGACCCTAATGGTAGCAGCTGTTGGCAGCCAACCTTTCACTGCCAGAGTTGCTACATTTCCCTGGGCCACTTCCCCACAGCTCTCCTGCTTCTCCCTTACCTTAGGGCTCCCTTATCAATACCTTGAGGGTGTCTTCATTAACCAGTCCTTCAGCCGCACTTCCTCTCCTCTGGCTCCCTGGCTCTCCTCTGCCTGACTGGAGTGAGCCCTTTTTATAGTATCAACGGGGCCTTAATTAGAATTAGGTGGTCACATTAGCTTAATGGCCTCACCTGACTCTTTGCAGGTTAATTGGAGTCAGGTGTTCTATTAGCCTGGAGTAGCCCCTGCTCTGGTCAGTCAGGGAACAGAAAACTGTTAATCCAGTGGCCAGTATATCTGCCTTCTGCTATTCTGCTGTATCCAACTGGCCTGGGTCTATCACAAATATTTATAACCAATGACACCAGTCCCTACGTTAACGGCCAGATTCTGGCACCCTTGTTTACATTGAGTAGTACGTTACTCCTCTTAAAATGTCACTGACTTCAAAAGACAAGGGGGAGAAACTTTTAAGTAGCCTTGCATTCGGAAGGATCCAGACCCCTGGGTAAATTATATATAAGGATCACTCAACCATCAATGAAATGTCATCACCTCTGACCTGTAACATAGCTGCTGTTTCACAAGAGTTTATGGAGGCAAGTGGAGAATAAACACTACAGGTGTGGAGAAAAATGGAATCTTTTTGTATTAGCTGGTCCGGAGCCAAGTGAAAAGATGGAACATTTTCTGATCAACTCTAACCCTAACAATACTGCAAAATTGATTTTGAACCAAATACAAAACCTGAGCAAAGCTAGGATAACATCTTCTGTAAGGTTTCTCCTGACATGAGGTTTTTTTAGTGGAGTGTTTGTTTGGTACTGGGATGAAGGTGACATTTGTTATTATGCGTTTTTAAAATTATGATTATTTCTTAAATAAAGTTAGAGAAAATATTCAGGCATTCAAAAGTTTACATGTTCCACCAAGTCTGATGTGTTTCACTTTAATTTTTCTAAGCGTTAGCTCTTATCCTGTTATCCTGGGTTCTTTGACTTTCAGGGAATTTATCTGCTGTTTTGTTTTGATCCAAATTAATGCAGTTGAGCATATGACTGCAAGTAGCAAAGAACAAAAAGGTCCATCTTTTTTGTTCCCTTTCCTCCTCCGATGGAGGAGTACAGATTTCAGTGCAATTACACGGCACACACATCAATTACACATCATACCACGTACAGTAAATGTACTATGATTGGAGTTAAACTGGTTAGAGCTGGATCAGTTATAGTACTAGTAGAAAAGGTTAAGGAAATAAAAAGTCTGCTATAGAGACAGCCAGTGTAGTCACTTCACACAACAGAATGGGATTACTTTTCAAGAAAAAGAAGCTAGAGTTGGGTAGAATGCTGTAACTGAAAATGTAGCTACTTTATAACCTCTAGTGAAATTGTGCCTGGATGATCACACAGTGACTTTGCAGACTTATTCCTTTTCTCACACCAGGAATAGCATTGCTTCTCATGGGAGAGACCTTGGCTGCCCCAACAAGACAGTGCTAGCTCTAAAGATAAGTATCACCGATACACATTTTGATCTAATTGGAGAACGCAGTTTTGTGGGAACAATGTTGTTCTTCAGTACATCAAAATAAACTCATTCATCAACCTGAGATTCTTTAATTCTGTTTCAACAGAACTTCAGGGCCTTCCTGATATTAAAAAATGATGACCTGTATTTTAAGTGGCTTTCAATCGATAGTGATATCTTCATTTTAGCAATTAGGATTCCTTTGACATTCCCTGAACAAATGCATCTGCAAATGTATCTGCAGATGTTTGAAACTCAACACTACAAACCCGCACAATTCTTTGGGAGCACAAACCAAAGTGTGCCATGGGACCTTCTTCCTATCACATCACAGATGCATACTTCTGTGTATTATAAAACATGCAATTCCTTTCCCCCCGCCCCCAAAGAAGAACTGTGGATGAATTCTGACCTCTATACCTATAACAAACACAATCATGTGAATGTTAAGGGTGGACAACCTTGACTATTTCCCTATAATATTACTTCAGTTTATAGCACACACTTCCTTATAAATCAACTTCTAAAATCCTTGCCACTTACAATTACAGGATTCCATGTAGAAAGAAACTTTTATCCAATTCCTATTATCAAACTGGGTCCAAAGACATTTGGATAGGACGATGTGACAAGGGCAAAGCAAGAACGAACCGAGGGCAAAAGACAAAGCTAGCCTGGGAGAAACATTCACAGGGTGGTTTTGCAACAGTACAAAAAAGTTATCCCCTCTGAAATTATCTTTACCAGCTAATGTGAAGGGTAGACTTACCGCTGGGTTCTCTCATTGATGGTGTTAACTCCCTGAAGATCTGAAAGGGGTGTTCTTGGGCTTTTCCGAGTAATACCTATGGAAGCATATCAACAAGAGTTTTTACATCCCTCTTTACAAGAAGAAAATTAGAGCAGCAACAGCTTTTTGTTGGCTGCAAATGAAAAAGGACAATGTGTATTTGTTCTGGCACATGCTGGGAATACAAAGAAAGGGGTTTATGAAGGAGCCATGGCTGCTGAAATATCAACTGACTACTAACGTCTATCATGTTCTTTGTCAAGGAGACATAACTTACTAGCAATTCTGTTCACTCTAATCTGCCTCTTCCCCCAGCACCCGCCAATACGACACGTGAACAATTTGTCAATGGTGTACTTTCCACTATTAGAAAGCAAGGTGGGAGGAAAACTAACAATCAGTCATGACTGATATAAAGGTACCAGTTCACCTGCTTCCTGTCAGTCAAAACACTTCAAAGCAGTAACATGAAAAATATAGAAAGATAATAGTCAATCACTCCATCAAGAAGGGAATTGGTTGGGATAGAGAGAGAGAGAAATAGCTAGATTACTACAATTACCAGTAATTGTTTCTTCTTGTATGTCACTGCTTGTTCCCCTTCCTAACAAATGAATATACACTGACATAGTAAGCAGTATGCTGTAGGGAGTAATCTTATTTTCTGCCAAAACGGAACCCTCTGATACTTATAGGTTCAATTTTCAAGGACTGATAAACGTGTGAGGAGAGTATGTTGTAACAGCTTTCTAGATTTTAATGGCAGATGGTTCAACTGTGTCTGTCCAAGAAGTGGAAATGTTTTGGGTGCAAATGAAATTAACAGAAATAAAGGAAAGATATAACTGCTTGCAGGCAACGAAATATATTTTTTATCCATCCAGCAACTGATATTTAGAGAATTTACAACCTTTTCATCTAATCATGAAAACAGATAAGTAATTTCTTAGCGGTCTGAAATCTGTAGTGTGAACCAAGAATTTTTTTAGAATTCATGTAACATTCAGCAAGGGTGTATTCCTTTGCCCTGAATTCTCCAAAATGAGGGGGAGGGGAAACTCTATGAAAAAAAGGAAGCCTAAATTGTCTTTTGTAGTAAAACATAGAAGGAAATGCAACACTACCTTCTCTTTAAAAAAAAAAAAAAAAGAAGTTAGTCTGGGGTCAGTGGAATGAAGTCTCATATTCCCGGGCTGGCTGAGATAACATTCATACTAAATGCGTCTTCTTAAAAGGTGAGCATGTGGAAGGAATACTTACTTCTCCTATGAGAGAGAGGGGGAAACTTGTTAAAACCTGTAGCAGCACACCACATTTGAGGCCAGTTAGGGGAGCCTGTATAACTTTTACTTTGGGCTTTGCAAAAGAAACACCTAAGTAACAAGTATCAGAGGGGTAGCCGTGTTAGTCTGAATCTGTAAAAAGCAACAGAGGGTCCTGTGGCACCTTTAAGACTAACAGAAGTATTGGGAGCATAAGCTTTCGTGGGTAAGAACCTCACTTCGGTTCTTCCCGACGAAAGCTT